CCCCGGGGCCCAGTCCCCCCGGGGGGGGGATGTCAGTCTGAGCAGAGGCAGTGCCAACTTAGGCGGGTGGCTTGTCTCCGTGCCAAGGCAGCTTCATGAGGGGGTTCCAGAGGTTCGGTGCCCTTTAGCGGGCTGCTGCCCCCCCCAACTAGGCCTAGCCAGCGGGGGCAACCAAAGCAGGGGCTCCGAAGACGGCTGGAGTCTTTGGGTAGGAGGCTGCCCTTCAGGTAGGTGGGCCCCGAGGAGCCATGTTGTGTTTTAAAGGCCGATGCCACGGCACCCTGGACTGGGCCTGGAGGCAGACTGGGAACCAGGAATGAAAAAGGCCCCCCCCCCCCGGTCATCTCTAGAGGCTCTGCTTCAGATGCCGCCACCATCGGGGGCCAAATGGGCGGGAACCCAGGAGAGGGCCAAAGCTCTGGGACCCTCTAACCCTTCCCCCACGGAGGTCCTCCTGCCCCCTTCTGCTGCTGTTGCTGCCGCTGCTGTGCATCTTCCACCCGTGGGTGGGGGACATTCCCTCAACGGCCCCTCCTGCCTAACCAATGTGTCTATGTTTTGTAACTGTTTTTTAATTTTTAATTGTGTGTGTTTCGGAGGGGGGTTGGTTTTAATGGTGTTAAAATGTGATTTTTATCATTTATCATTTTACACTGTTAGCTACCGAGGGCAGAAAGGTGGGAGACATATTTAAAGGGGGGGGGGAAACAAGACTGGAATGAGGTGGGGTCCCTGTGACCCCACTCCGGTCAGCGTTCTTTTGCTCGAAGTAAAGGGTCCACGGTCAGAGAGGGTGCTGTTCCCGGAGTGGGGGAGGGGGCCAGATGCCCCCTCCCGCCCAGGAGGTCCACAGGGAGGGTGTGGCAGCCACAGGCCCCTCCCCTTCTTCTTTCCCAGCTTCTGGCATTTTGAGGGTATACTCACACTTATGGAGGTTCCATTACTCTCTCATGGCTAGTAGTAGCCAGTGGTCGACGACTTCTCATTCAATACTACAGATTCTTTTCTCTTTTTTGGGGTATTTTATTTGGTATTTTTCATGAGTGTGTGTGCGCCTGGAAGTCATGGCGACCTCTGGTGATTGACCCCTACAGGGGGCCTGGAGGATATTCAGAGAGGTGGCTGGATCAAGCCTGCCCCCGCCTCCCGACCGCTGGTCTTCCTAGGAGGTCTCCCACCCGAGTACTTGCCAGAGTGGACCCTGCTCCGCTTCTGAGATCTGACGAGAGATCGGGCTTGGCCGGGCTATCGAGGTCAGGGCAATACTGCAGATTCTTTTGAAAGCCAGTTCTGCCAGCAATGATGAGAGCGTCCTCTGGCAGCAAATTCCTCAAGTGAATGATGTGTTACACGGACAACAGTATTTTATTCTGTCTCTCTGGATTTTCTGCCCATTGATGTTCCCTGCATGTTTTAGTGTTGCAAGTTCTTTGCCCGCCTTCTCCAGAGGAGGCATATAATTTCATGAGCCTCTGTCATGCTATCCCCCACCCTCACAGCCACCCCCACCTTGGGGCCTAACTGAGCATGACATCTTTATCCTTGCTCCCGCCCTCCCTGGGAGGGGGCCACGGACCTGAGCTGTGAGATCCGTGCTCAGCACTGAATCCCCGGCAGCCTGATTTGAGGCGAGGCCCCGGGTGCACAGGGGGTAGAGGCTCCGTTCTTCACCCCCCTGCCGTGTTTGTGACCTGAACTGGCCCTGGGCCGCTGCCGCCGCCCTGAGTTGGCACACTTTGCCTAAGGGGGAAGGCTTTTGAGTCAAGAGAGCAGAGGGCTCCAGGCGTAAGTCTGTGGTGTCGAAAGACCTGAGAGGGATTGCGGTTACAAGAGAGGAGGTCCTCTGACTGACGGACAAATTAAAAACTGACAGGTCTGGACCCACGTGGCATACCTCCAAGAGTTCTGAAAGAGCTCAAATGGGAACTTGTGGATCTCCTGACAAATATATGCACTCTCTCACTAAGTTCTGCCTCCATTCCCGAGGACTTTGAGGGGGGTGAACAAGCATGTGGGCAAGGATGACCCAGCTGATGCTGTTTACCTAGACTTCCAGAAAACTTTGATAAAGTTCCTCATCAAAGGCTCCTAAGTAAACTCGGCAGTCATGGGATATAAGAGGACACGCCCTCTTGCAGATTAAAAACTGGTTAATTAACAGGAAACAGAGCATGGGTATAAATGGGCAGTTTTCACAGTGGAAGGTGGTGAGCAGTGGGGTATTGCAGGGCTCAGTCCTGGGTCCGGTGCTTTTTTACTTATTCATTAATGATTTGGAGTTGGGAGTAAGCAGTGAAGTGAACATAAGAACATAAGAACATAAGAGACGCCAATGTTGGATCAGGCCAAAGGCCCATCCAGTCCAACACTCTGTGTCACACAGTGGCCAGAAATACCAGTGCCACCAGGAGGTCCAGCAGTGGGGCCAGGACATTAGAAGCCC